TTGATTTATTCATAATATATAATAATATACATAAGTATTTTGAATTAATCGTTTTATAAATAGATGAATAGTTTGTGAATTATCTTACTTTACACTTTAGAAATATGAGCCCTAAACCTTCGGATTCGGTTTTATTTGTATGAGGGAAACGCGTTTTTTAATGAAGAATATTAAAGGTGTTGTGCTAGTTTAGCCTAACAAGGCATTTGACAGAGCAATCTAACTGGAATCAGAGGATATTCGGTTCGAATCTCGATAAGAAGGTAATGTTATTCTCACTCTAATAGTCAGTGATGGAGGTCCCTCTGGATATCCATAAATGCAATACTTTTATTCCACATAATGATAATTTCAACATTTTTTGCAAGAGGGCGCCAATTAAGTGTTGTGTCAGTACAAGCACCCGACAAGACGCTTAGGGCGACGCTTAGAGGATATTGATTTGACCAGAAATTTACTACCGATTATTTTGTACATAGCAAAAACAGTGTTCAATTTTTACTGATATTATGGTTACTGCGTGTTTTTGGAGTAACTTAATGATTGACAAAATTATGGTTGAAAAAGATTGTGATTAATATTGTTTGTAAATATTATTTTCTTTGTTTTGTTTTTTTAATGATTTTCACGTTTGTTTATAACGCTCTAAAGTTGTTTTGATGGTTTATTTGTGAAGTATGCTAACCATATTTGTTTTTTAATGGTACATTTTGTGCGGATTTACTTGAAACTTCAGAACTACTAAGTATTTCTATGAAATCTTTCCTTTTGCTATCATAACTGCCCGGAGAAATATCATCAACATTGATTTTTTTTAAGTGCAATAGATTGAAAATATTGTATGAATGCCCACTGTCGATTCACCGTGCAAGAAAGAGCTGAATCAAAATTCGGAATTAACCAATCCGTAAGAAGCTCTGTCAAAAAGCTTTCGTAATTTCCGGTTATTTAGAGGTGCCATAATCATAAATTTTCTTACCTCAGGCCCAACATAGTGGGGCTGAGGTGGTATCTCCATCATCTGTGAAGCCTCCCCCTGGCCCCCTCTTCAAATTCCTGGATCTACTACTGAAAACCATTTAATACATCTTCATAAATCGATTAAATAAGACCTCAAATTATCAAAAATGCCTCAGCTCCGGCCTTCCAATAAGTTGAGAGCTAAATACTCTTTTATTATATTATAGACATTGTACTATATTTTGAAATGAAAATGTAAAACACGTATTTGTTTTTGAATTCAATAAGTTTATTGAGCTATTATCCGCATTAATAACAATGATATTACAAAACATTCAACACGAAACAATCACAATAATACTGGCAGTAGATAAGTCATGGATCAACAATAGAAACTTTCAATAATGGAAAATTAATGACAAGGCTTATTTTAAGAAAATTATGGCTTTCGTCGTTTATTGATCTACTACAGCATCCCAGCAAACAAAAAATGTTCGCGAACGTTGTGAACGTCGTGGTTAACACAACGTCACAGAAATGTTTGCAACGTCATCGTCAGAAAATTACAATATAAATACGAAATTTATGGTTCTACAAGAAACGTTTGGAATACCAACGTTATTCTAACGTTATTATAACAATAAACTGTTAGCTGGGATTCTGTGTTTGATAACTGAGCAATATTTGAGACTACCCTTGAGGGGTAGTCGCATTTACATTAATATCTCAAAAGCCAAGTATTGAAATGCACGCCATCGTGTTGGAATTCAATATTTCGACATTAATTATGTCATCATCAGGAATCTCAAAAGCCATTTACAAGACTTGGAATAAGGGGCTTACCCCATAAGTTGACATCATGTAATTACAGTATTTGGAATTTAATTTGAAGGTTCTAAATTGATGACAACACCCTTAACGCCTTAACCACCAACTGGACAACTGGAGCCTCGTTGGGATTTCAAGTCATATGTTATTAGAAGCAACTGAAAATGTTCACACTCTTGCACATACATGGATCAACGCTAGCGGTCGATGCATTGAAAATAAAATAGAATAGTATGATAACCCCGTAAAGTAAACAACAAGTAAAGTATATATATATGTATAGGCATATAT